TTTACCTCGCGGAAAGCCCAGGGGGGTGCGCGGAAGGCTGGGGGCGGACGACGGTCCCCGAGGCGCCTGGCTGCCGGCGGCTCTGCGGGGCGGCCCCGGGGTGCGCGGCCGGCCGAGGCCAGCAGATGGTGGTGCGGGAGCGGGGCCGGGCCTCGCCATCCCCACAGACGGGCCTCGCGTACACACAGGCTTCTTCCCGTGACTACACCTCTCCATTTGCTTCAAGAAGCTTGAAAACATAAGCGCTATCCAAATGTAAATACATATCTAGCATGGATTACAATTATAGCAGGGTTTCCGTGTGTTGGCTGTCACGCTGACTGCATTAACAGGCCATAAAATCCAGCCAAAGAACTGCATCTCCCATCAGCACTAATCCCGTAACTTCAGTTTGCTGCCCACAGCATTCAGGCAGACCCGAGAATAAAACACCAGGGATATGGAACAATCTTTTTTCCTCATTACTTCTTCTTATGAAGAAGAAAAACACACACTTTTCAGGACATGTTAATTACAGAATATTGAAACTAAATCTGTGAGTACCAGTTACAGAAATTGCACTTAATTAAACTGTATTTATACTAGAAAGTGAGTATTTCTTTATAAAATTAAGGTAGGTGTCTGGAAAGCTCAGTTCCAAGGAGTGACCGAAATGATGTCCAGGGTGCAAGCCAAGGCAGGCAAGTTACTCGCACTGAGCCGCAGCACAAGCGCTCCCTGCACATCCCAGACCACTGAAAGAAACTGAGGAAAAATAAAGCCTGTTGCAAAAAGTCCTCACACAGACCACCTATGCTACATAGTGGCATTGCAGGCTCTACTGTTGCACTTAACCCCACTGCTAATAAATTTTAAATAATTAAACTCATGTTCTCAGCAGTTCCAATTTACATTTGTATGTGTTACAGCTACCAGACTTTCTGGGCACGGCCATACCTCCCTACAACGGTGACCTTCCCCTGATACCAGCCCACAGCTCAGAGAAGAATGCTGTAAAACTCTCCACATACTTCCTGCTAGACCTCAATGCTGAAGATTTGTTAGTGTTGGCAACAGGCTAATAGTTGCGCTTGTGCAATACTTTATTGTGCTTGTCTCCATTTTTCCACCAGCCTAATTCCTTCTCTAACATTGTTACATGTGCTTTGAGATTCCTACTGATTTTCCTTCATACACACAGCTGTGGACTTTCCTTTTCAGTCACATCCACAGCAAGGACAATTCCAGAAGGAGAAATGCCTATCTTCCTTTTTGGAAAGGAAATGCCTATCTTTCCTCTTTGGAAAGCATCTAGGAAGCACACAGAACTTCCATGGCAAGAGAGGGGAAGGGCTGTGTGATACCGACCATGGCTTTGCCCACTGTGCCTCATCCATCACTTCCTAGAAGCATAACACTATTAAAACAATAGCAGGGACTCCTTCCAACTCCAGTCACCCTGGGAAGGATGACAAACTGCCAGCAGAGCCTACAGAGCTGTGTAACTCAAGTTTTTGATAGCAGCTTCCCTTGCTCCTTCTGCACCTCCAGGCATAGAGCTTCCCCAAGAACGCTCTCTCTTAAAGCATTTGAGATCTTGTCTGCACAACAGGCAAGAAATGGACATTTTGAATATCACTCCACTTAAAAACAAGGGGTGAAAGGAAAGGGCTGCGAGGAATGGATGAACACAATAGCCTGGTAGCATGCCATTTGATAAGTTTCCTTTCTAGCATCCACTCTGCAACCTCACAGACACATCAAATAGCTCTTTCAAGAACAAGGCAGTTCACATATAACTGATCACTAGTTATTTAGATTAAAGGTCTGCTGAACTGGGCCAAACCACTGACAAATAGAACAATATAAAACCAAGTTGCACTGGTCATCCTATTCAACCTTTTGGTTTTGCTTTATTAACAAATATCTATATTGCAAGAACAAGTACCTATTCATATGAAGAAAGCTAGCCAAATAGTCTCGAAGTTTAATCACTCTAAGCTAAGAATTTGTATATATTCCATGAAGTCTTTCAGTCACATTTAAGATTACCTTAATTTACATTTGGATATTGCTAAATTAATGCATTATCCTGATGCACCCTTAGTTAATCCTTGGTACTCCGTTTGTGATACTTGGATTGACATAACACAAAGTGTTCCAAGAGACAGTTAAAAATCTGCAGGAAAATTGAGTACTCATGTTAGAGATACAAGTTAAAATTCCAAGCAATGTATGTGAAATAATCTTTTTTTAAGCTTTTAAACTCAAAATTTGACCAACAGGTCCTTTCCTGTAGCTGTACAAACTTTATTTTTTTTTTTCCCTTTGGGTATCCTGGTAGCAGAAAAATCAACTCCCCTATCTACACAAATCTGTAATTGTATGCAATTAGGATGTCAAATTCAAACTTGCACTTCAAGCTTTCTTTTTAAAAAGCCAAAGATGACAAATTAGAATGTGTAACTATATTAAAATGATTACTAAAACACTCTCTCCACCACAAATGAATGTAAATAGCTTCCGCACTTAAATTATTTTTAGAGGGGATCAGTCCAAACTGTATAAAAGCTCAGACTAGATGCAGATAGTGACAATTACTCTAGTAAAGTTGCTTATTTTAACCACAAACCATCATTCATTATCTCATGCTCCCCAATCACTTCTGAAATAAGATACCGTATGATGCAATGTACCCAGGTCTGATGATGGAAGAGCTAACAGAAAACAATTTTATTTTTAGCCTTACTCTGAAATCAAAGACACTGACAGAGGCTGGATGTCTGCCTGACCAGCACAGTGCTGCTGGTTCCTTCAAATGGATAGAAACCAAAAAGAACAGAACACCCAAAGTGCACTAAGGGCAGAACCCATATTTAACACTTAATTCCAGCATGGCTTCCATTCAGAATAACCTATGCTCCACAGTTCCACAGCTCCTATTTAAAATTTGCAGAAGACAAGAAAAAAAAAAAGAAAAAAAACCAAAACCCTTTCTTTCTATGCATTTCTTCAAAAGTTGAGGCTCTGTGAGAGGTACAGAATTCTGCAGTACAGTTATCCTCAAAGACAATTCCTGACACTGCTGCTCTGCTGAGTTGGACTGTGGCATCACAGGACTCTGCCAAAGGCAGTTGTTAAGGACAGAAATAACACAGCCAGGGAGCTCTGTTCCCAAACAGAAATCTAAATACTATACAGAAGCTATGACAGCTCCTTGCAATGACAGCAACAATAAATCTTCTGTACGGGAGAAGGTGCCAAGGAGGCTCAACCTGCAATCCATATTTCCATAGATCACTGCTCCTCACAGACTAGGGCATGTTTAGGCACTACTAGCATCACATGAGAGAAGGATAATCAGCTTTCTCTTCTCAGTGCATTTGAGAACCAACTGATTTTTGCAAGTGAACATACTGGATGCATGAACCATCTCAATGGAAAATATTTTGCCCCTGGAACCAGAACCAAACCAAAATTTTGAAAGCTTCCACCAAAACAAGGTCACTAAAAATATTTGACAGAAGAGTTTCAACTTTCAAAACCCTACATTTTAACTAGTTAAAAGGAAAACCACTAGTTGGCAAACCAGGCCCAACCTGTTGGCAGAGAAGGCCACTGCAGAAGATGAAGCAGTCTGATAGTATCCTGCGTGCACCATTTCAGGGCTCTACAGTAAAAGAGCTGAAATTTATTGAAAATGACACAGAGAAGGCCATGAACTGCTAAGAAGAAGAAAGGAGAGTTGTATTTCCTTTGACCACAGAGTCTTGTACACAATCTCAGAGGGTTCAGAACCTGTACTGTGTATTTCTCCTCTTCCAGTACTGTTCATTTATTCACTGAAATAGAGATGGAAATTAAAAAGTCTGTTCGTTGCTACAGAACATCCTCCAAATCCTGTATGAGTAAATAATCCTTCATCTTGGAATTAGTATGTTCACTCCTGCCTGAAACTAATGTTTGGTTTTTTAAAGCCATTTCAATTAGACAGCTCTTATTACTGGAGCTTTTAGTATAAGAAAAGATTCCAATTTTAACAAAAGCAGATATCTAGTCTAGTTGTAGGTCTGTACACAGTTACAAAACTCAGCAGTCACTAATTGTCTGGACTTGGCAGATAATCCTAAAGGAAATGACAACAGCACTGGAATGCTGTTTCCTTCTGTCAGTGGACGTGGACATGTGCATCTTCTTGGGGACAGGGGGCAGAGGAGGAGCTTTCACATAATTCCCTCATCCGAAAGAAAGTATCCAAAACAATGATGCCCAAATAGAAATTGAAATTGTTCTGTTAAACAGCGTCTACTTTCAGACATTTCTAAGGGCACTACTAACTGTTAAGGATGTAAACATACTTGAGTAAGAGTTTAAACGCTTAGGTGATTTTTCAATACAAAGACAGCTAGTGTTATTTTATTATGCCATGCACCAAGGAAGACAAAATAATATTACCACTAATGTGACTGGACAGCCCAGCATATGACAACATAGATTATCAGCTCACATGATGGAAGTCAGCAAACTAAACCATTCCCCAAAACCTCACGGTACTGAACTAACAAAATAAAAAGCTACCATTAATAAAGAACATACGAAGCTTCATGGCTAACTACTCAGTTGTTACACAATCACTAAAATGAATAGGTAATTTCTAACAGCAAAAAAGAAAACACATGATACGATAAAGAATAACTACCAGATGCAAATGTATGGAACAGCAGACAGGAGATTGTGCTTCCTCAGTCAATTCCAGCTAGCAGTGCCAGCTATAATGGATGTGTTCCACATCCTGTGACACAGTATCAGGCATACAATCCAGCCTCAGAAGTTCCCCCATCTACCCCACGACTACAGCACTTCCGCTTAATGTGATCACATAAACCTTTTCTTTAAGTTTTCTATTATTTTAATCAGCCTCTTAAGAACACTTCCATCTAATTACTGCCTTTGGTGTTTGTGGAGCTTTGTAGACTGCAGAGATTATACTTGGTTCATATTGAGCATATGAAGTTTCTTACCTCCAATATTCTGGATAATTATTGTAGTTGCAACAAGGACCTATAAAAAAAAATTGATTTCTTTAGAAAGGGTAAGGATAACTAAAATCATATGCCTATGGCAGTCATAAACCACATATGTATTATCTTAAACAGACCATATGTAAGAGCGATAACTAGTACTGAAAGGAAGGGCATCTTTTCTGTAGTGAAGAGTTTAACACATGGAAGCTAACGCAAACCAAAATGAATATGAAAGCAGAAAGTCTCCCCCAAAAGACTGCATTTTCATTCTGAAGTGACAAAAAAGAAGTTATAGCATGAAGCCTGTTCTGCAGAAGATGAGGTTTTTACATCACTGAAAACATGTAATTCCATTCTCATTGACATTAGGTGAGTGCAAATGAAAATGATCATTCACCTCTGAAAAGAATATCAGCCAGCAGAGATTTGTACAAGGTACTTCCTCACTCCAAAAATCTGAACATTTTTAACTATCACAAATGTTGTTATTTTTAAACTTGTAAACTATGTAGACTTCCGTTTTGCATTTGTGATTATTCATACTGGACTGATATCCCTGCCCATGGCATGGGGTTGGAACCAGATGATCTTAAGGTCCTTTCCAACCCTAACTATTCTATAGTTCTATGATACTGAAGTAGAAATGATCAAAAGCTATTAAAATATTTGTATGAATCCAAAGAATTAACTTCCAACTGAAAATAACAACCCGTAAAAGTGTCTAAAGTTTTCCCAGCATTTCTCTTCAGTTCAGTTCTACAATAGTACAATCATCTAGCAGAGTTTTTACCTACTGCTGCTCTTGATGTAGCAGGACCTTCCTACATAAGTGGTACTACTAAGTCAACTTGGAAAAAATTAAGCCGCAGTTAAGAGAAGAAAAGCAAATTTGTACTTTTGAATTACTTTTCGAATGCTTTTGAATTGCCTTTTTTTTTTAATTAATCAGCTAGAAAATAATATCGGATTTTAAATTAATCCAAAGTCAGTTCAAAAGTCATCAGGTTAAGGGGTAAAAAAAAATAAAAAAAATATAGTATGACATCTTGGAATTTGCCATAGATGGAAACAAATACTTCATGCTTTTGGAAAGGGAGAATGAGCAAACTGCCGATAGCAGAAAACAACCAATCTCACAAATCTCCGAAAAATATGTTTGACAGGAAATCACCTTAAGGTTGAATAACTACTGTACTTCAAGATCAGTAGATTTCAGTTTAAATAAGGTCCTGCAGTGGTCTGTCTGTATCACTAGGAAATAACCCATGTGAGGGAAGAGTAAGTACTTCTTTAAAGAAGAAAGGAAAAAAATAAAGCCACCTGCGCCTGACTGAGACAAGGAGCTTTTAGGGACAGGATGAGAATTCAGAATGGTTGTGGTAAACTAGAAAGAAGTGTAAGAATCAACAAGATCCATGAAAAACAATACATTCAGAAAGTGCATCTCATAAATATATGATTTATGACTTATTACCCTGAAAACAGAAAATAGTCTGAGATAACACAGCCAGTAGCTTGAGGCACACACAGAAACAGCAAATCTTGCTTTGGGATGCAGTACCTAGCAGCCATGTTCTTATCTAAAATACAGTCCTCAGACACCATACTGTGTTCTGTTTCACAGGCGAGGTTTAAGAAAGATCTACAAATATCATAGATACTTCAATAGAGAAAGATAAGCGTTCCAGAAAACATCAGTTCAGCAGGAAGGTTTGGTAGACTTTGGTTAATTATTTTATCAAAACAACAGCTTCCCAACCTAGAAATATTCCTGTGCTTTCCATGCACACTGAAAATAAGACTGGATGATTTTTAGCACAAATTATTTCAACTCAAAATTATGAAAAAATGTATTAGGGAGAGTAAGAAAACCAAACTGATGTTGACTACACAGTGAAGCTGTGAAGTCACCTTCATTTAAGCTTTTGAACAACAGATTAGACAAACATTTGCCAGAATGGTTTATGTGTGTTTAACCCTGCTTCAGAGCAAAGGCAAACTAAAGCACATTTTAATATCTCTTTAAGATCTACATTTCTATGACTTCTACATCTAATGGCTTGTAGCTAGTGTGTACAGATCGGCTCCTATAAGAAAAATAATTTTATTTCACAGCTTGCTAATATCAAGCTTTATCAGGTCTTGCAATTCACATGATCACATCTTAATTTTGATCGATAAATACCAATCCTCACAGACTACACTCATATCAGTTTATTAATGCTTACAGAAGCCTTACAAACCTTAAGAGCTCACATTTAATTCTCAGTAACACTAAACCAGAAGAAAATAAATGGTAGCCTGTTAAGCAGAACTACTTTTACAAAATTATATTGTTTTAGTAAACCATTAAAATCATACATCTGTGTGGTCAAATTTGCATTTATATCCTATAACTGAAACACAGAGCACAGAAGTAATATTAAATGTGCAGCATTCATAAACAGCATTTCCTCTGCACCCATTATCACCAGACAATGCTGTTAGGAAAATCAGGCTCAGTACGCAGTACTAAAAAGGCACAGCTCACATCATACCAAAAATAGTCAGTTTCCTGGTGGGTTTTTCTTAATCATGTGAAAACAAGTAAGAAACATTCATCTGAAGAGTTTTTAAACACAAACAAAAAAATTAACATGCATTAAACATACTCTTATTTGTTCCTATTGTGGAAACTACACAAAAGGCAAACACTTATCTTAGATCCCTGTTAAACGCTAGACACTTACCTGTCTCTTAACAGTTTACAGGAGAGGTATGATGGGACTGTAACAAACCTGAAATGGATTGCTGAGCCAAGCTGACAACAATCCCAGTGAGCATGCGTTTGTATATGCAACTGAAAAATGAACACACTGACAAGGAAGTGGCACAAAATCTTGCATTTAAGGAATGCCTATTTTACAATTAACTAAAGTTTGGGCTTTCACAGACCAGACACGCTAATTGAAACATAGCAAAAAGCTATGCAACAGATTTTTCAGTATACTAGGATGTCAGCAAACATATTACTCATTTCATTTAGCTCTCTCTACTATGCTTCTGATAGACAACTGTTCTTTACATGAAGCAGAAAAGAAAAATACAAAGCTGAAAAATAAACACTCACCTTTCCAGGTGATCCAAATGCAAACAGGCCAAGGTCTTCATAAGAAGTGACAGCTGTTAGCAAATGAAAAAAAGCTAAAAATACTTCTAACTTTAAAATCACTTGAGAGCTCCAGCTTTGCTTTTTTTTCCCTTTCTAAATGAATATAATCCAGGACAGAATTAAAGGAGTATTTTATGGTGTTTTTTTATTTACAAAATAGCTTTTATATACACCTGTAAAATACAGCTATATGCTCATTCAGAGACTCTTCAGAAACTTCACTGAATTTTAAAAATAGTAAGACATGGCAAACTGCCTCCTCCCAGAAACGTTTGCAAGTGATACTTACTATAGGTGAAGAATTCTGAATTTAGCCCACTTTAGCACCACTGGATACAAGATATTCCCATATTTTGTTACACTTTCTTTTTTCAATGAAGATGACAGAGGATCAGTTTTCTTCTTTTTACTATAATAAACATCAATCACCATCTTGCCAGTTTCAAAAACTTGGCAGTATTATTTTCAAGAGGGCTGAAAGTAAGCACCTTCCTCAGTTGAAATATATTAGTAAAAACAAAACACACCAAAGCAAAACCAAAAATCCTGCCCTTAACTGCACCTGACTGACATAATCACATTAAAATAGCCTGTGGTTTCCCCTATGCTTTTGTCGAGTTTTAGCTGAAGCTCACTTCTAATATTGCTGGTAACTCAAACCAATCCCTCCTCAGAAAGAAGGAAGTCATATTAAAGTTTTTCATTGTTGATCTGTATTTTGTTATGAGAAACTCAAGCGATATCAAAAAGATGAAAGTATTCTGAGAAACACCACTTACTTTCTCAGTATATAATAAAACAGTCCACAGCTGTAAATGCCTCAAAGGGTAGAATTAATTTCAAACCCACATAATTTTATTGCCGCAACACTTGCTTTCTCTTCTTTGGTTCAGTACTGCTTCTACTCCCATCACATCCTAATATAGGGCCCTGCCCTGCAATCTGAGCTGCTGGGGACAGACCTTCACACCTGAGTGAAGTCCCATTGAAGTAAATGGGACAACACACAGTAGACGGGCAGTTCGCAGAGATCAGATGACAGGACTGGAGGCTCACACTGCCTACTGCCCAAGTTTAGGCGTTTTTATTTCACACAATCGGAGCAATGCTCCAGAATTAAAAACAAAAACAAAGAAAACCAAACAAAGCCAACAGAAAACGTTCATTAATTCTCTCATATGATTTTCTCATGGGCAATGTTTCACATTCTAGTCTACTACTTACACCAGTACGCTTTAACAAAATAAATGTAATGACAAAATTAAATGAGCCAGAGTCAGCTCTCAGCATAAACCTGATCTAATCTCTTCTCTGTTGTTACACTAATACAAGATGTAATTAAACAAGTACATCTTACTAGATGTCACCCTGTGTTTTTCTTAGATTTCCATTTATAAAATTGTTGTTCACAAGAAAAAAAAAAGAACAAAAAAGGCATTTTAGAATGCTATCTCCAATGGCATAAAAATACACATAAGTAAAATGTTGAATGTACTGAGTAGAGAGTTGGTTTTGGTTTTTGGATCACATGGATCAAATACACGGCACCCAAGTATGACAAGGAAAAAACAGAACAATTTTTTCCACACAAATCCAAACAGCAATATGAAACCTTAAAGTATTTTCTATAGTAATTCTGTTTCGGTAATCAGTTTAGTCCTGTGAACACTGGGAAGCACTAATGCTTAATCACATTACTGCTGTAATTTCAAGGATATATGGAACAAAATATTAAGCACAATTGCTATGAACGAGTTCTGCCTGATTGGCTTGATTTCTGTTACATTACTAACGTTAAAGGGAAATTATCCATTTAAATGCAAAGTGAAACTGGCAAGTAAGGGACCAGCAATATTCATGACTAACTCAAAATGAAACATAAAAGCCATGATGAAACTTAAAAGTACATCCCACTTCAATTCCCAATTCCTCTAATTTACAGAGTAAGCTTAGCCTTCGACAGCCCAAACCCCAAAACACCGTAGGTCATACTGAATTAACACCAGGAGAAAACATGTACTAAACTAATTAAAAATCAAACACTTGACAGTTGGCAATATTTTTCTTGCTAAGCATTATGGCCTATGCAGATCATGTGATTTTGTCAGAGTCCAAACCAACATAATTTAAAAATTGAAGACGCTTACTTTTAAAACGACAACCAAAATGCCTGTGCTTAATAAGTCCTCCTCCCTGGTTAAAATTCAGTATTAGAGATTCATTTTCAGAAGGTATTTTATAGGTCAGCTCTCTCCTAGAATTACTTCTACAATTCTACTTCTAGTTTACAAACCCTTCTAAGGATTTTTCTTCCTGATCCTTTAAATTTGTCTAGCTCATTTTTTTAATATTAAAAAAAAAAAAAAATCTTTTCAATTTGTTGCCATGGTTTAAACTTAATACGGTAACATTGTTCACAAATGCATGTAGGTTTTATAAAGAAAAATGCTGAATTATGTACTTTGGAAGCAAACACTTAGATTTTGCTTTGTCAAGGCACAATTAAAGGCACACTTGTCAAGGCACAATTAAAAATCTTGCTTTTTAAAGACAACATTCCAAGGAAAAACATGACATGCTATCTAACATTCAATTATTTCAATGATTTACAGGAATTATTGAAAATATAATCTGAGAGAAATCTTATTTTAAAAGCTAAAAAAAAAAACAAACCCAAACCAAAAAACCCCTCAGAACACTGAAGGCCGTAAATCCAGGAAACTTATCTAGACATAGTTCTGGTGTTCTACCTGACAACATTAGCTGATAACTAATTACTAACTGTAAAGTCCTAGTTTCTTTCAAGAGAAATACTTCATCCTATCCTTTCAGTGGTATTCCTTGCTTTCAGTTGTGTGCATTTAAAAAATGCTTTTTTTGAGGTGGACCGCTGCCTTTGGACAACGACGGAGGAGTTAAACCATTCCTGTGTATTAGGTCTCCAAGTTCACCACACCAAAAGTTTTCCTAGTTTGAAATGTTTAAATCCTTAATTTCCCCCCTCTCACTAATAGTTCATTTTCAAGGATGGCTTTATTTTAACAAACAACATACTACCACTTCATGCCCATATAATACAGAACTTCTCAGCCTCAAAGTGAGGCCTCAGTGAACAAAGAACATAAAAATTTATCTTAACTTCCCCCTTTTTCTGCTTCTTATGGATCTTTCTAGCTACCTGTTTTAGGTTTCAATTCCTTTCCAATAAGCAGAGCTCTAAGAGAACAAAAATTACCAAAGACTTAATCCCAAATCATCAAGCAGCCAAAAATATCAACCATAAAAGTAACCCTACCTCTGAAGAATATTTTTAAAGAATGTATGAAGATCTCTCAACAGATGAAGACAGGAGCAGCAGATCTAAGAATCAGGAAGCAATCATCTGAGAGACCAAAGCTATCTACAGAAAACAAAGCCAGTAAGGAAAGAAACGGAAGCTTTCTCATACCACCTTTGAAAAAAGGAAAACAGATGAATGGGAAACAATAACCAGGTGACTGAAAGAGATGGAGACTTCCTGTTATAACACAAAAAGATTGTGTACAAGAACCCAAGGAACTAGGCTTGTTTCAATTAAAAGAAGAATTAAAACAAATTATCAGATTAGACTGTAGATACTAGAATCTGCTGTTTGAATACGCTTTTCGAATATAAAGCAGTGTAATTACTAAGGACTGCAATGTGACTTCTCATCTGGTATCAAAAAATCCTGTAAAAACATGCATTTGTAAAGTGCCAGGAGAATTATGATAATCCAGTATCATTACAAAACTCAAAAGGTATCCATTTCAAACCATAAATAATATATATACTACAAATAGAAGAATGGAAGACTGCTATTTTATTGCTCTTAAGCCTTCACTGAAAGCAATACACTGAAGTAGCACAGTTCATCAGCACCAAAATAATTTTGCCACAGAAATGCAGGATCTATCTTTTTGGAAAGATGAGAGAGGCATTTTGAAAAATAAATAAAAATTGAGAACCTAGAAACCAGTCAGTCTGGCACTGACTTTTCATTAGAATTTTCAAAATCATATTTTTAAATGGCAAACAGTAATTGTTGAAAACATTAAATATTTCAACTTCAGTGACTCAGACTCTGCTATCTGGTAACATGCTGTTAACGACAGTGATTATACTGGGTCATATCATTGTGATATAGGGGAGGAAGTATTTCAGAGATAAATCCTGTTCACTTACCAGTCTGAGTGCACATACTGAGCAGAAGAAATACAGAGTAAGAAGCAAGGCCGGCAACAATCAGCAGCAAGATACTGAAAACCACAAAATAGTCACAATTAAAGCACTTTTATAAAACAATGTACTTCCAGAAAGCTATTTCTGCAAGAAGTAAGCTACCACAAGACAGGATTTCCTCATTTTATGGCTTGTATCTGCTGACTATGGTTCATATGGTCTCTGACCTTCCCAACAGTTGCCAAGTTGCTTCTTGTATTGTTCACCAAAGCATGTCACACACTATAGAAGGTGAAAGCCTGACAAATCAATTATAAAAAGAACATTAAGAATGTGCTTAAACATACACAGACAAAGATTTACCTCCCAGTGAAGTGGATCTAATGCTTAGAAAATGGTAAAAGTGACAATTCTGGTCACTTTGGCTCTGTTATCCATAGGTTAATATGTACAGCAAGCAGAAGTGCAATCAATAAGACAAGCAGATTCACAGTTTCCAGATATGCAGCTACCCTACTCCTGAAGGCCCATTTCTAGAACTAAAAGAGATGGCAGCTTGGAACGCAAATATCCATCTATTAACAGTAATGGCCAAGAAATTGCCACCATGTGGCAATTTAATGCACTGTCTGGGCAGTACTTAAATTAGGCCAGATTTGAATGACTAAACCAAAGAAAGAGGAAAGATCTTATTCAACAATGCCGAAAAGCACAAGGTATTTACTTCTTCCCCAGTTTTTGCACAGGAGTCTTAGCAATCAAGTTTTGTTCCATTTAAAAATACAAGCTGAGTTTAAAAATAAGTATATGTACAAACTGAACACTTACCTAAACCCCACGATCCCCATGTTGGCCATAGCATAGGATAAGCCAAGTATCCCACTTCCTATGATAGCATTCATTAAATTAAATACTGAGAAAGCAAAGGAAGAACCATGACTTTGAGAATCCTGTGGAAAGTGCAGAACAAAGGACAATTAGTGCATGAGGTGTTTTGGCCTTTTGTAGGAAGAATGTAAGGGAGGGGGAAACAGTGAACTTTCCCTTCCCTAACCTAAATCAGAAATACCTAAAGTACCTTTTCTCATTTTAAGACCACACAAACCCTCGTGCACATACAATAACATATGCTGTCCCATAAGGCTCTCAAGAAGTCCACATGCTGAGGACGGCGACACTAGTGCTCAAAAAGAGAGCAGGGCGGTTTATACTTAAAAGCAGGCTGTTCCTACAGAAGCAAGGAGCATAGCAAAAGACAGCACTCCCAAGCGCTCAGCAGTCAGACGGGTCAGAAGCAGGCCCAGGTGTTCCGCTTCACGGGCCCGGTGCTGGCCAGCCCTCCCCGCAGCGCTCGCCGGGTATCACCCCCGGGAGCCGGCCCGCACAGCCCCGTCCACCCTACACCGATCCGCCCGACCTTTGAGCCCGCGGGACCCCGCCCGGCCGCGCTACCCTATCGTCTCTTCCAAGCCAAGCACGGCCGGGGCAGGCGGCAAGCCGCGGAGAGCGGGACCCCGCGGCTCGGGGAAAGCAGAGCCGAGCCGGTACCCACCGCCCCCCCCCCGACGGAGAGGGCCCGGGCAGTTCCGCGGCCGCAGCTCCATGAGAGCTCCCCACCGCAGCGCCAGCCACCCCCTCACATGCACGCTGCCCGGCGGCAGCAGCGGGGCAGACTCCCCGTCCTCGTCCGCCTCCTCATCCTCTGGCTGCTCGCGGGCGGACAGATACCAGCCCCGCTCGGCCCAAAGCTGCCCGGCCCCCCGCGGCCGCAGCGCCATAGCACCCCGAGCCCCGCCGCCTCGCCTCTGAGGGGAGCGCCCCCGAGGGGAGGGGCCGCGGCGGAGGGGGCGGAGCCGAAGAGCCGGCCCCGCCTTCTCCCTCGGCGCGGCCACGTGGCGTCACGGCGGCGGCGATGACGTGAGGTCGTGCGCGCGGCTGGGCTCGGCATGAGGTGAGGGCAGGGGACGCTGAGGGGCGGTAGCTTCGGCAACGGGGAGGCCTCTGAGCAGGGGGCCCCGGTGCAGGGGGTCCCCTCGGCGGCCCCGGCCTCACGGCTTCCGGAAGGGGCTGCGCAGCTCCGCCAGCAGCGGGCGGCCCGGGCGCTGCGGGCCTGAGGCGGTGGCTGTCAGTGGGGCTCCCGTCAGGGAGGGGCGCTGACCCCGGGGAGGCTCCGCCCCGGCGAGGGTCTCTTCACCGGGTGGGGCCTCAGCGGCTCGCGGGTCTCTGTATGTGGTGGTCGGCGTTCCTCGTAGAGGCCGGGGGGAGCGGGCAGCGGGTAGCAGGCAGCAGGCAGCAGGCAGCAGCCCTTCAGCAGCTCTCTCCTCCCTGATTTACCTCAGGTTATTCTGGGGGCAGAATGGGGCAAACGGGGACCTCGGTTAGGAGGGACAGGTAGGCCTTTCCATAATTAGTCTGGGAAGTCGTCTTCCGAGGGTGTGGGTGCAGTGACACCCAGCCACACTTCTATATTGGGTATTACTAATACCGAGAAGCCCGTGAGAACTAGGCCAGCAGTTTCCAGCTATGGAGAAGGGGAATGTCTGAGGAAAACATTGGGATGCTCAGGCCCTTGGATGAAGGATTTCTCCTCTGTAGCAGACATGAAGAATGTAATGTTTATTTTTTGTCAACAGGAAAAGAAGATGTGTGTTGTCAAAAACTTGGCTTAGGGAAATGAGCTGGGAGATGTAGGGAGTCCCAGCAAGGAGCTGGGATTTGCAGGGGAGGGAGGATGGGAGTAGGGTCAGCTTTGCTAGGGCTGGTGCTCAGCTCCTTTTTTGAAGAAGAGACCATATGGCTTGTTCCCCTGAAGGAGGGCAGTGCCTTGTACATCGGGGTGTAGATGTCTGAGGCAGGCAAGAGAACCAGTTTCCTGTTGGAGCTAGTTTGCATTTCTCTTGTCAACCACCAATCTTAGAACAAACTTCCCAAGAAGTGAGGAAAAGCATCAGCCTCTCACAGCACCTAAATCATCAGTTCCCATCTAGGAGTACTGACACTGAGTCAGAAAAGTCGGGCCCCTTTGGGCCATGTTTAGTGTAGGAGCTATTTAAAAAGAAGCGTAAAGCTACATTTCAAGTCCCCATCCTATTAACTGTACAGAGGAGTTCAGTTACTTGAACAGACATTACTAATGCTCCTCTGTACCATTAGGAGAATTCGGCATTTAATTAGTGGTCTTTCTGATGTGCATTTTGTGGAGCAAAGACACTGTGGAGTGTGTAACCCCTTAACCTGGAGGCAGAAATTGCTGAAGAGTGATTATGACCACTGTTGCTAATAACTGTTTTCTAGCAATCACTGCTTGGTAATAAATCTTATCAGAGACAGAAGGGATCCAAAAGTAGGAATAAGACAGTAGAAGTTTTTCCATTTGGCTTACTGAGCTTAATATCACATTTATTAGAACAAAGGGAGGTCATTGTTTTTTGGCAGAAGGGGATTATGTCACTGCTTAAAGTTAATGTTGAAGTCTAAAAGTACATTTGCAGGAGGACAGAAATTTGTGGTATATAATTCATAATAAAGAGCTTTACTAAACTACTGTGGATTGTTTGGTACAGATGGAAATTCTAGTATAAGAGAACAGCAAATCCATTTGATTTGCAGCCTTTTTAATGGAATGATTACATAATGTCTATAAAATGAATGATTTCTCTTCTAGGACTTTATGGAGTTTGGGATACTCTGCCAGACTACTGAAAACTAATGATTTTAGGACAGCTGCAGCAAATACATCATTTCCAGCAGTTTGGACACTGCTGGCTCGATATTCTGGCATAATACCTGGGCTCTTCGTAGTAGTTAGAAAAAATAGATTTTTTACAATGCCTGACACTGTGGAGGATAAAGCTGACCTCAGACTGTATTCACCACATCCTGGAGTGCGTGGGATGACACAACTCGACAGAGAAGCTTTTAAAAGGACAATTGTTGTTCCAGTTCTGAAAGTCAAGACAGAAATTGTATATACTTTGTTGAAGTCCCTAAAACACGTGGTACTCCAGCGTCCTGGTCTAAAGCGAGTGATTGAGGATCCAGGAGATGAGAACAGTAGATTTCTCATTCTGGATCCTCATAAAATACCAGAATTCTCATTGGGAGAATCAGAGCAAGAGGTATTAAACCAGCTTAATGTTCATCCTGAGGTGTCCAAGTATAACTTGGAGCTGACTTATGAGAATTTCAAGTCAGAGGAGATACTAAGAGCAGTCCTTCCTGAAGGTCAAGAAGTCACCTCTGGGTTTAGCCGTGTTGGTCACATAGCTCATTTGAATCTTAGAGACCATCAGCTTCCATACAGACATTTGATTGGTAGGTAAAAGAACTCAAAAAAGTAATTCATATATTTAATATATTGTTAAAAAGACATTTAACAATTATTCTACTGATAAGTTATTTACCTGTACAAATAATACTTTTGAGGGCTTTTTGTTGCATTGTATTTTGACTTTAAATAGCCTTTGCCAGTGCTGTAGCTGTGCACAGGTGTAGTCTCTTCTCTTGCAGTAACTGTAGTCTCACTTCACTGAGATTACATGGAGTAGTGGATCAGGGTAAAGTACATGCCTTAGAAAGGTGTCGCATCTGCAACACTGAATCATCAGAGGAAGGTTGTTCTAATACTTCAATTAATTGTAAACTGCAGTGTTTGTATTTCTTGTAGAGCATTAAAAGATTTTGGTCCCTTAACCGGAATATCTTTTGCCCTCTCTCAGGCCAAGTTATAATTGACAAGAACCCAGGCATCACCTGTGTAGTAAATAAAACCAGTATTATTGACAGCACATACAGAAATTTTCAAATGGAAGTGCTTGCTGGAGAGAGCAACCTGGTAACCAAGGTACAGTTGATTTTCTCCTCTTATTTTAAATTTAATGTGCTAAACCCGAAAGACATCTACTGGACATATGTGCTGAAGAGATGCTGTTAAAACTGATCCTTTACATGGTGCCCTTCCTGTCACCTGTTTTAGAGTGTAAGAGTTGGCAGTTACTTCTGCATTCACTTGTCCTGGTCTGACAAGGGTAAACTCACAACCATAAAGATCATGAAGATACGTATTCTTTGAAGTTCACAGCCTAGGTTTTAATGATCTAGAACAGCATGTCATGATATTTTACTGATATGTGACAGTAGCAGGTTTCTTGCAGACATGCTAATTACAAACTTTGTAGTAGGGGGTGTTGCTCACTCTAAAGCCAGCATATTTTATGGATTTGATCTAAGAAATTGCTGTTTCTTCATTTCACCAAGCCTTGTGCAGGGGCTGGTATTGAATGTAAGAGTGTGTTTCTAAATCTCAGTGGCTTTGTAATGTAGGCAAGATTTTGCCTGTGCCTTTTCCCTTTCCAGTCAGCAGCAAGACAAACCTCATTTCTCCTGTGTTTTGACATTTTTCAGGTGTGAAGAACTACGTAACTGCCATGCAGGGTTTCTTGGCTTTAGCTGTAAACTTGGCCACTGGTTCGACCAAAAAATATTTTTCCTGTTAGCAGTTCTGTGCTTTTAGAAGAGAAAATATTAGATTACTAAATGAAAAAGATGTCTAGCTTGGTAGAACATCCTGTACATGCACAGAGAAGGCATTTGAATCGTCAAGGCAGAAGTGACAGTCAAACACTATGCAGAGGGTATTAGCTCATTGAGCACACATCTAGCACACCACTGAGCTGCACACTGAGCAGTGCAGATGTTTCAGTATGTTTCTTGCTGGCAAAGCAAAAGAAGCAGTGATTTGGATACAAAGATACTTCAATTCACAGTCACACAATTCAAGTGTGGTGGTGCAAAGTATTATCTTGCATCCCATTCTCATCTGAATACATTTTCTTTTTAGGTCTGTTCTTAAGTTAGTGCTCATCCCAAAGTTTGGGTTTGTATCAGTTTTTAGATGCTGTCACCTTGAGAGATAAAATACGGTATTTTTTCAAACTGCAGGGTGGCTCCCAGGGACTTTGAATTTGGGTGACTGTTGCCATTTGTGTGCTGCATCATTCTCAGATGCTTATTTACTATGTGGACTCCACTGAGGAGAGCTCAAGGCATATTCCCAAGGTCTGCTTTCAATAAAGGAGCTGTCAGCCAGCCACAAAAAAAAGCCTCAGATTATTATCTTTTTAAATGGTAAATTTAAGTTGCTGTTTTATTTCCACCTGGTGATTGAGACATCCATAAGCCAGCCATCTGGATTGCCAGTCGGAACATTCCTTATTGCTATTTCTGTTGAGTAGATCTGTTTATACAAGTCTCATGTTTACTATTAGTGGGACAAATGTCAATTACATTTTGATAAAGCACCTTAATTTTTAGCTGTCTTAACAACTGATAGTACTTAAATATGCCTGCAATTTGAACACAGAGGCTTAAGCAAATGTCTTGGACTTTCAGGTCAAAGAAAATAATATTGCGTATGAATTGGACTTCTCTAAAGTCTACTGGAACCCACGTCTCTCCACCGAACACAGTCGTATCGTTGAGCTTTTGAAGCCCAATGATGTCCTTTTTGATGTCTTTGCTGGGATTGGACCTTTTGCTATTCCAGCAGCAAAGAAAAAGTGCCATGTATTTGCAAATGATCTCAATCCTGAATCCTACAACTGGCTCCTGCACAACTGCAAACTGAACAAAGTAGATGACAAAATTAAAGCATTCAATATGGATGGCCGGGACTTCCTGCTGGGGCCAGTAAGAGAAGAACTAAGTAAAGAGCTCCCACTTCAGAAAGAAGAACAAAAAACCTCTTTTCACATAGTTATGAATTTGCCAGCTTTGGCTATTGAATTTCTGGATGCTTTCCGGCATCTCCTGGTCAGAGAACCATGTGGCACTGCTGGTCTTCCCACGGTGCACTGCTATGGTTTCTCCAAACACGAGAACCCAGCCAAAGACATCCAACAGCGAGCTGAAGCTTCTCTAGGAACCTCCTTGGATGGGCGCTGTTCAACTTACCTGGTTAGAAATGTTGCACCCAACAAGGAGATGCTGTGCATTAGCTTCCAGATCCCAGCGGATGTGCTGTGCAAGAGGCCCTGCCCTGACGAAGGTAAGGAACAAACCTACGTGGCACATGGATTTCAGGCTACACCTTGTGCTGTCTCAGGCTGGTCCCACCTTGTCAGCCCTGTGGGCCACTCCAGCCATATGACAAGGATTTTGTATTTGGTTGTGGAGTGTGGAGGCTGCCGGCTGGAGCCTGCACATGTGCAGCAGCTGCAGGGCTTCACGCGTGCTCGGTGACAGCGATCTGCTCTTCTGATCCCAGCATGAGCCTCCACAGAAAAAATGGTGGACTGGATAGGATCATCCCACAGGCCATAAACCAGAGTTTTGTGCCTTAGATCACATTCTAGGGGAGGATAGGGTGTCTAATGCCAAGCACACATTTCTGAGAGCTGAATACTTCAGAACTGGAGCTTCATTTTCACCCAGGGTGGAATGGCGTGCTTCCAAGAGATGGGTCCCAGTCCTGACCTTCTCCCTTATGCTTGTGCTGACTCAGTTTAGGTCTGGAGTCACTGCATCAGCAGAATCAGCTTCTGTACAATTTAACTGGGAAACAGATATCTTTAATTGAGAAACTAGAGATCTTTAATGGTGTATATGAGTTTTATTTTTTCATATAATCAGTCGTTTCTTGAAGCACTTGCAGAAACTCATTGGTTTCAGTGATCTTGGGCTTTCCACTAGGTGAGGAGGAGGGAGAGGGGAGACTTTTCAGCCTGCAGTTACGTGAACTGGAGGAAAGAAGGTTTTGATGAAACTTTGATGCCGTGAAACTTATTTTTACACTCTTGTTGGGTAGCACTGAGATGTAGGTCAAAATGTACCTCAATACAGGTTTTTTGGAAGTATTTAGTAAAAATCCCCATTACTGCTGTAACAGTTTTTGTTCATGACTAACAGGTAATCCCAGTTTTAATTTTCATCTCTTCTTCTTAAATCCCTGAAGTGTTACATGGTTTGTGGTTTGGTTTAGTTCAGTCTGTTTAGCGTACTTTAAATAATTGACTTCTTTTAATGTTTTTCCAGAAAAAAAAGCCTCCAAACGTCTGTGCACCAGCAATGAGTTTTCTGAAGACAAATTTCTGAGCTGAAGACTAGAGTTACGGTAACTGCCTCAGTAGTTTAAGAGGTACACTGAGATTACCTCCGGTTTACTCCTTGAGTTATTTGAAGCATACTTCCTATGTTGCCCATCTCTGGTGCCAAGGTGCAGAATGCATGTTGCAACTTCCCTCTGTCAGGCTCCCTTCCTGCAGTTACCTTTTCTTGGTTTTCACTGTGGGATCGGTGAGCAGATTGAAACTGTTCTTACTACAAAAAACTAAAACTTTGCTTTTATGTAATAAAGGTGTTTTGGTATTTTTTCTGCTCTCTGTTGTTTCATGCCCCATGGTAGATCAGTGGCACAGGCCATGAGAGTTTTCTGCTATGTCACTTTGATAATCTGGGGCTTGTGGTGAAAACAGATTTTTGTATTTTGTTGGGACTTGTATAACGCTTGGTTGGATTCTCTCTGACAAACGGGTCTTGTGTCTAAGAATATGGGATTAGTGCTTGCAGATGCACTAACAGCTCCTGTGTAAGTGACATCACCTTTCAAAAACCTGACCCAAGATACAAGAAGGCCCAAATGGCCACAGGTACTTGTTCTTAGGCTTCTGAGTAAGAAATGCTTTTTAACACTGAGATGTACTTAGGGATTGGAAGTAGTCAGTTGGCTCTTAACTTAGCATTTGCCCACCATTAAAGAAGGAAAGACTCTAAAATTGTTGGCACATCCGCAGGTGTTGAAGTGCAAGACCCAGTACCTGGTTCAGTGGTCTCTTGCCTTGAGCCGCATCCTCCTGTGGCTTCCCTGCCCCTGCTGCCTCCCAGCGTTCCCCTGCCTCCAACTGCTCCTCTGCTGCAGTCCCTGGGTGATCTTGCTGACTGGCTGCTTGTATTCTGCAGGGATTTGAAAAGCCTCTGCCTTTGATGGCCTTCACTTACACATCCGGACTATTGTTGGGCAATGTCAACCACAAACAGTTTATTTGGACAGAGGCCTTGGTTCAGCCTCTCAGTTTCAGACATTTTTCTTCAGTCCCAACTCACGCATAGCAACTCAGTGAGCAAATGTCCATCACCTTAGTCCTGCTGTTATGGCTCTTTCACTGGAGCCTGCAGCCTGGTGTCCTGCTTCTCACCCAAACAACTGGTGAGGCCCAAGGATTTTGCATTACTGCCTTTCCCTTGGCTCCGCAGCCAGGGCTTCTGAGCAGGCCTTTGGAGGTCTGTTGTCCCTGGACTGCATTTATCAAACCAGGGGTCAAAAATCATGACTCACTCCTACTATCTTGAAAGCTGCTGTATAGGTCCCTTCCCTGGCCTGCTGCTCCAGCCCCAGCATTCCTCTGCTGCCCTTTAAAATAGTATCTCAACAGCTTCGATCTGTTTGTCATCCTGTTGTCAATGACAGGCACGTTGTACCCTCTCCCCACCAGCCACTGCTCCTTGAAAAGCAATGTGTGCTGTGGTTGCTGTCTGCTACATTTTCTGACACTGCTGTGTGATTTCCTACCCCTGCCCTGCAGGTTTCTCGTAAACATTCAAAAGCTGCTCTTGTTCTTCAGCGCCCTCCATGAACCCTGCTGTAGCAACAAGGCCCTCACCACGCTGGAACAATGTAGCCACCCTGTGATCCACACTAAGGGGACTGTCCATACTGCTGGAAACTGCAGGTCCCTTTTTGCGCATTGCTTCACAGTCCAAATTTAGGACTTCCTGGCACTCCTGCGCTAACAGAAACCTGGCTTTAATCAACAAAATGGGTTAGTAAATCTTAAACGCGTAAGAAAGAAGTATGTGGGGGCTGGAAAAAGAGACAAGCCAAGTGAGCCTAGGAACACTGTCAGAGTATACAGGGATGCAACAAGGAAGGCCAAGGCCCACTACGAATTGAGTCTGGCAGAGAACATTAAGGACAACAAGAAGGGCTTCTCAAAGTCATCACCAAGCATGTAGAAGAAATCAAGTCTGCTGGTGACATGAAGCTAGGCGACTGGCTGGTACACCCGAGGGTTGTGCTGCCATTCAGTAGGACCTTGACAGGCTGGAGAACTGGGTGGAGAGAAACCTAATGAGGTTCAGCAAGAGCAAGTGCAGGGTACTGCACCTGGAGAGGAAGAACCCGAAGTACCAGTACAGGCTGGGGCTCACCTATGAGAGAGCAGTTCATCTGAGAAGGACCTGGGAGTGCTGGTAGGTAAGTTGACCGTGAGCCAGCAGCGTGCCCTTGCAGCCAGGAGGGACAATAGTATCCTGGGGAGCATGGGGAGGAATGTGGCCAGGTCAAGGGAGATGATCCTCCCCCTCTACTTGACCCTGGTGAAGCCACATCTGCAGTACCATGTCCAGTTCTGGGCTCCTCAGTACAAGACAGACAAGGAGCTACTAAAGAGGGTCCAGTGAAGGGCCACAAGGATGGTCAGGGGTCTGGGGCATCTCTCTTATGAGGAGAGACTGCGGGAGCTGGGCCTGGTTAGTCTAGAGCAGACTGAGAGGGGATTTCATTAACGGATATAAATATCTCAAAGAGAGTTGCCAGGAGGATGGTGCCAGGCTCTTGAGTGGTGCCCAGTGACAGGACAAGGAGCACTGGCCATAAACTTAGTTTCATTTCAGCAAGAGGAAGAATTTCTTTACATTGAAGGTGGCAGAGCAGAACAGGCTGCCCAGGGATGTTGTAGAGTCTCCCTCTCTGGAGACATTCAGAACCCACCTGGACATGTTCCTTTGTAACCTGCTTTAGGTGGCTCTGCCTTGGCATGGGGTTTGGACCAGATGATCTCCAGAGGTCCAGTCCAACCCTAATGATTCTGTGAAATTTTGGCACCTCCCTCCACCTCCCTTAGCAAAGAAAGCACTGAGTCTGGAATAGAGCTTATTCTTCTCTTTATTACAACACAGAAAAAATTCACTCATTCAATGCACTCCTCAGAGCAGCATTAAACAGCTATTAACAGATGACCCATAAAACGTGGGCCAGGCTTTATTTACTCTTGAGGCACACACTATCCTGAGCGGTTTCCAGTCTCCTGCAGTTTATACACACACCCATGGCAAAGACCAGTCCTGCCACAGGAAGACCATCTCTGCTGCAATTAGTCTACATTCTGCTATAAGGAGAGGGGAAGGAACATGTAAAAACAGCAGATGGAGTGACAAGGGTCGTCCCAAAAGCCAGATGACAAAGGGAGGTTCCTGCTCAAAGAATCTCTGAACATACAATCAAATGGAGCTTATCAGGGAAAAAAAAAATAACCCCAATTTTGACAACGCTAATGACTTAGCCTTGTATCAAGGCTTCTTAGATTTCTTGTAGAGAAACTCACTTGAAGGACTTCCAGCTAAAGATCTGTTTTCCAGACAAAGGTAAGAACCAAGGGACATGGGTAAGGATCCTGTACAAGAGTTGTGTCAGCACAGCTCCAAGGTTTCTCATCTCATCCAGCTGGCAGGAGGAAAACCCCACTTGTCTAAACTGGAGAAACTAGTTTTATGGGAAGAAAATGTAGGCTTGAATACTGACACTAAATGTTATAATCAAAATGGCATTTAAATGCCTGTGCAGATAAAACCCTGCAATAAGAGTAAAGCCACAAACTTTTTTTATTGAAGTCTGGCTTTAAAAAAAAAAATTCCAAGTGTATTTCTTTAAACCTCAAGCATACACAGCTGAGTTATTCACATCTTCCATTAGACATGGCTTAATGCTTCAGCCTCTGTCAGCTCCATGACTGCATGTGCTTCATGACTAACAAGTTTCCCTCTATACAAAAATGCATTGACATTTTACAAATGCTGTTATTTCCTCTAACACTTACACACAGCTGGTTTTACACAGAATAGGGACTGCAGTGTAGCCATTGTGCACATGGCAGCAGTTTTACTCCTTGCTCCGTTTGGTGTCCCTTGATCAGAGGCTGAAGCATGCCGGCTAATTGGGGTGCCAGAATAGACCACTGAAGGCATCCTGTAAGGCTCGGCTGCAAGCAAGAGAGGAAGTGTAGCCCCCAGCGACATCCTGGGGAGAAGCGGCTCGCACGTGGGCGAGATACCTGAAACAAAGAGAAGCAGCATTTCAGACCAGAAATAAACACATCAGACACCTGTGTGGTTCTCAGCACAGTCAGGTCAAAGATGCTTTTTGGGAGAAAGCAAGGACATGGAGCTGCCCACTGCTAGCCGCCTATGAAGGGATCAGTATACAGCTTTACCAGTTGAAATGATGGCAATGCCGATGGACCTTCAGACAAGCTGCCCAGCAAACACACTGAAAAAAACTGGCTCTGGCAACAGGCTGCACAGAGTTAAGAACACTCACTGGGTTGCATTTTGGTACTTGTTCTGGGGGCAGGGCTGCATTTCTTTCTTATAAGCTGATGATGACACAAGCTTTCCTGCACTCCCACAGGAGTCAGTTTCAGCTCTGTCCAGTTAGCACTACGCCCTCCCAAGAGCCAACCATGCCGATTGCTCTGATAATGACAGGGCTAAACTTTCTGCTATCACATCTATCTGTATCTGCATTAAGTCCACTGACACCAGGTAATTAGGTATGTGGAAGGCTGTCATTTTGGCTGAAGCAGCTGCTGAACTGCACCATGATTTCATCATCATCATCTAAGGGGCATGTAGCAGTAGGACAAGGGGAAAGGATTTTAAACAGAAAGAGGGGAGATTTAGATTAAACATTAGGAAGAAGTTCTTCCCTGTGAGGCTGGTGAGGCAGTGGCACACGTTGCCCAGAAAAGCTGTGGATGCTCCATCCCTGGCAGCGTTCAAGGCCGGGTTGAATGGGGCTTTGAGCAACCTGGTCTAGTGGAAGGTGGCCCTGCCCATAGCAGGGGGGTTGGAACTGGACGATCTTAAGGTCCTTTCCAACCCAAACCAGTCTGTGATTCTATCATCTTTGCCACCAAATTTTACACCAAACCAGCCAGGCTGATGTTAAAACATTCTGCCTGTGCTAGCCCTGCTGCAAGCTCTTAGCTCCCCTCAGCCCCTTCTGAGGGCTCATACCCAAGAGCTCCCACTAAAGGTGTCTGCTCAGGAGTATGTGGATGGTTTCATTCAGTGCTTTAACCACAGAAGTCCTTGCATCCCACGTAAGACAGATATAAGACAAGGTTCTTGGCTAGTTTTGCACCAAAACCATTTCAAATACAAAGACAGCCACAGGCCCAGCACAATCAGCACAATGACCGTCCCAAATTCCAAACGCCAGATAAAATACCATAAATGAGAACTGCTTTTCAGAGTGGCCATGTGAGCCTCTGAGCTTCAGCTAGCTGTTTTGATTCATTGCTTGGTACATGTTGCTCCTGGGAAGGTTGAGTCACTCCATCTCTGGCTTAGCAATTCAAGCATAAACTTGCAAAATGCATACAGCCTTTTATAATGTTATCCTGAGAAACCTAAACCAGCTGCACTTCTGGCAGGAAAATACAGGACCACCGGTAAAATATCCAAAACAGTTGCATCTTTTAATTTATGACTGTACACTGTTTCCATAAAGAGTATATAAAACAGGTCAGATTTTATAGGTAAGACATAATAAACAGTCATACCCATTGAAGCCATAAATGTGTAGAAAAAGAGATTACTTAGAAATGATTAATTACAGTTTTAAAACTGTGTTTCTTGCACCTAATAACCACAATGCACAGACATGAGCAAGATTTCTGAGTGATTGCTGGTGATACTGAAGCTGAGAGACTGAATTTGCCTCCTGCGGCTGGGCTGAGGTGACCTCTGCTACTTGGTACCAACGTGGGACAGAGCCCGATCCTCACTGTTGGACATGGGCTCCCATCAGCACAGCAGAGACCCTGGGGCACAAACCCACTTCACAGTGTTTCGTCCACAGGGAACTGACAAACACAGCAGCAAAGCCGGTCCTTTCTCTTCATCTACAGGGGAAGCTGGTCTACAGAGAGCTCTGGTTTGGGGGGAGAACGCACTTAACGGATTTTGACTTCTTTTTTTAACATTTTTATTACTTGTCCCTTAATATTTTAGGAGGAAAATCTCATCCTTCCCAAAGGCCTTTTAGAACTGCTGTATAAAACAAGAGCTCCTTCCCCCAGCCAGCAATGATGAAGGAATACTGACAACAACAAATAATTTCCTTCAAAACACTGGTTTGAAACTATCTCCACCCTCCAAGCCAGAGAGTATTACAAAAATCAATTCCCTCTCAGATTTCACATCTGTCATGGTTTTTTTCATTGCAGAAACTTCAATTTTCCACTCCTGCGTGGAGCAGTCCAGAGAAAACAGGGGATTACTTTACGTTTCTCCATTAACAAAGGTCGGCTGTGTTTTTCATTACTTTTCTTATCATTTGTTACTTATACAGCACTGGAAGGAGAGAGAGAGAGTCTATTGTTTCCTTTTTTTTAGGCCACCTGAAATTGGGGCATTAGTTTCATAACACAACCTGATTTACAGCTATTACAGCACTTACGGTTAATTGGTATGTGATCTCTGAAGCAATACAAAATCATTGATAAAAAGACTCCTATCAACTTTTACTATGGCAACCTGTGTTAATTACCCTTCCTCCTGTGGAACAAGCCTGACAAGCTGCTGGCTGTCAAGTGAGGTCTTTATTTTCTTGTTAAGTATCTGAACTTACTGCTCTTGACTGTTTAATTACTGTGGTACACCAGGCAATTGCAAAGAGAAGCCACACAATGAGAAGTGAATGTTTTGCCGGCTTTTCCCCACCAATCACCATCTGTGCAGCCTGAATCCGGCTGTGCCCTTCACAGGAGAATCTCTCTGAACTGGATTCCTGGGGTTTCTGGCAGAGGTCAACACATCTTTTCATGTACACCTTTACAACAGCAGCAGGAAGAAGCGCCTGCCAAGTTTTATTTCCAAAAAGTCAAGCTCCGTTAGGTCTTGGGACCTGGAGGTAATTGCTCTCACTAGTTAGCAAATTCCAGCACTCTAGGTCTGTTTTTCATAGGTTTATTTTAAGTATCTGTAAATCTTATAAGCAGAAACCAGGAAAGAGAGGTTTGCTTTTTCTGGTGCAGAGTTTTTTAGTGTAACTTGTTTTTACTGCAGGGAGACTGAAGTTAAAAAAAGCCTGCACCATTATTTCTGAGCAAGGCTAAAGGGCCGTGTGTTCTCTGCCCCATGGTTTCACACTTCTCACTGTAATGCCTGCACTCCACTTCGGGCTCTGCCCAAACAAGTTTCCTTTCCTTAGCTGCAGCCGTTGGATGTTGATTTTTCCCATTAACCTTTCACATCAATTAAAACACATCGTATTTTGTTCTTCATGAGCCTTCAGGGGGCTCACTCCTGACCTCTGGTTTCTCATCACCATGCAGGGAATGGGGGGATGATTTTTAAAAAGCCTCCTGCTTTCAAGGGAAGAGGTGTAATTCACACTTGGTGCAGAGACTCGCAATCAAGCTGGTCACTCCTGGAGTAGGTTTCCGTCATGTTTTCTCTTTTCCGAAGGCTGTGTCACCATCACTTCATCAGGAGTGACGGGGACCGTCTCAGACCTACACAGCAGCTTGATCCCCTATGCCCTTCCACCCACTGCCCAGGCAGCCTCAGCACCCCTTCGCATGGCTGTTTCTGAGGCGCAAAGAACCCAACCACAGCTTGTCAGACGGTAACATCTGAGACCACTGGCAAATGTGCCCTCACTGCTCCACAGGGCAGTCTTGTTTCAAAGTTGCTCAGGAAAGACCTCAGAAACAGAGAAGATGGAGAAACAGCACAATCAAACCAGGCTAAAAGAAAATCAAAACCGAAACCCAAACCAAAACCACCACACACCAAAACATCCAACCAACAAGCCAAACACCCCCCCGCACACACACACACATAGTACTTCACCCACCCAACTGTAACTACCAGTACTTGGGATTGTTTCATACCACCTTCACCATCTATCCAAGATAAATACACTCCACTGGTGTTCCTGCAGATGCATCACTAGAGGTACATGTGGAGTACTGCGTATTTGGCAGGCAGATTGTACTTTTTTTGATTTATTAGGTATTTTATTGGGGTGAAGAACAGAAAAATCATTCAAAAACTGTTTGACAGAAGAAAAAAAGATCATGTAACTCTATTCCACAGAATAGATTTACTGCTCATCTGATTATCTGCATTATCCAAGGTAATAGGGCAGACATTAGATCTGGGAAATCTTCCAGATTCATCAATATAAATAATAAATAGTGGTTGCATGAAAGCAGGAAAATACTCCAGCCCGGAAAATTGTGTAAAGCATTAGTAACGCAGTAGCACACACTGCATTCCTGAACCTTCCTAGAGAGAACTGTTTTCATTAGATTTACCAAGTCTCTAAGATGAACTATCAATGTATTATTCACAGTATCACTGCAGAGACTGGGTCTTATCAGATGAGAGAAGCACATAATAAACTTTTCTGTGGCTGTTTTCTCTTGAAGAATGCATGGCCTGGGTTAATCTAACCCCTGAGCAGGTAAGAAACTGAGCTCCTCCACTCAACTGTGATTTGTTTGAACCAGTTCTACCACATAGTCGGTCCATGCAGCCAAAGCAGAATTTGTTTATAGAATGAGCTGAGTTCGTTGCTGTTCGTCATTACATAGCCCTGGGAAGTTCATTTGGGAACTCAAATGTGTTACTTAAACCTTGCAGACTGTAACCTGCACAATACAAAACTGATACTAAAAGAAGTCCAGAATAGCAATTCATCCTTCCACAGACTAGCTACAAGCCTGATCCCAGGTCTTCAGGAGGCAAATAGCAGTCTTTCGTCTATTTCAGGAGGCGCTCTTTGAATTTAGATCTTAACAAACCAACCAGCTATTACTGGTGTCAGAAGTTCCTGCTGACCACCAGCCAGCACAGCCTGTTCCAACATATACTGAAACTTTTAACACAACCATGAACTCCACAAGGGCCCCTCAGGAGCCCAGCTCAATGCCCCAGGTCACACTTCCAGTCCTGACAGCAGCAATACACCTACCATCAGCCACTCTTCTCCTCTGCCCTCCACCACCACAAGCTTTAAGTGGGGGAAAAAAAAATAAATCTATTTACTAGTTGAATGGGGAAGACTTTTCCCTGGAAAGGAATAGGTTGCCTGTTCCTCTCCATGGCTGCCTTGAGGAACCAAGACATCATTTGGTTGATAAATACAGCAGAACAGTTTTAATTACTTTCATTTGAATGTGCCCAGGAAGTAAAAAAAAGCACAACAAATAACTGTGGTGTGGGGTTTGCTGCAGGCACCAGCAAACAGGGAAGTTCCCACTGCACCAGCCAAGCGGGGCATACTACTTGTTTCTTTTCATGCCTCTGGCTATCATGCCTCTGCATATACAACTGCAGCAATCAGTGTGAATCAGTATCAAGAAACCACTAAGCACCATGAACTCCAAATAAGACAGATCCCAAGGCAGACAGAAAAAAGAATATAACCAGATTATGTCAGCCATTAGTCTTGCAGCAGGAGAAGACCAAATACAGCCCATAGTGCAGGGGTGCAAGACAATGTCACCCTAAATACCACAATGGAGTTTTGGCTATTGAAAAAGCCTACAAAAGAGAGCTACCATAACCACCACCATTGATGCCTGAGCAATCCTACTTGCAGACAGCAGACCCACCAGTTCAGATTCAGCTTAGTAAAGCCAGCCTTTTTATTAGTACTAATACTGTTGAGCTACACTAGTTTTCTGAGGGTTTAGTGAGCAGAAACTGCCCACCAAGATGTCAGATGGGCCCCAGACTCCAGCTCTTCCATGCCATAGGCTTGCTCAGCCCATTTCACATACCCACACACCAAGAAGCTGCCACAGAACAGTCACCTATTCATCCCGATTCACAGAGCTGTGCCTGGAGTTCCTCTCATTCAGACCAGCACGTGATCAGGTGAAGAAGCTTACGGCGTGCTTGTAAAGCCACCCTTCAGAGGCTCTTATTCAGGGGCTGCAGCTGTTAGAGTGGACTGCTGAAAGCACAGTTGGCATTATGAGCCAGCCCCCTGGTTCCAACTGACTTCATCTTTGACATTTCCAGGGCCTTACTTAAATCATAAAACCATAGTTGGAAAGGACCTCGAGGATCATCTGGTTCTACCTTTCTAGGCAAGCATGACCTAGACTAGATGTCCCAGCACCCTCTCCAGCCAAATGTCCAAGACATTTTTTTCCAAATGCTTGGAAATAAACATACCTGTACTTAGTTGACATTTGAGTATTTCCCTTCATAGGGAAACTTCAACCAACTTTCCAGTAAGTCTTCACCTTGCAATAAGTTCTTCAAAAACCAAATGCCTACTGACTCTAGTGGGTCTCTATTTGTTACAATGAATACTTAAGAAAAAAAAACTTCTTACTTGGGAGACTGAGTTCATAGCTCCCAGAACTTTTATTTCTTAGTTTTGCGCCTTCCAAGAAAATAACTCTGTTCTAACAGAAACAGCTTTTCCCAGGAGGAAAGCCAAGAAACCCCCAACCCACCAAATCCATGAAAGAATGTGATTCTTTTTAGCCTCCTCCATCTGCTTTTTCTAATTAGCAGTTTGTTTCAAATGCTGTCTGAGTGTCTCTGGGTGGGAATACATGTCAAGGATGTGTGCTGACACAAAGTTCTTTAAAGTAAGGGCTGCCACAGCACACCTCAGCTACAGTGGAACAGCACAGAGTTCTGCTACTGGAAATGGGAGGAGGGAAAAAAAAGCCTAGAAAAGCAATATATAGCTGTTGCTGATAAAGCCAGTTCTGACTCCAAAGGTAGAGATCAGTGACAGCTTATTCCTCCCTATTTTCCCCCCACTCCTCCCTTACACCAAAGGGCAAGCATCTCAGACGATGGCAGCTCAAAGCCACACATGCCCTGCTGCAACAGCGACCCAGCAGCAATTCAGGCTCAGCGCTTCCACTCTTACCATTCAGCTACTGCATGACCAATAAAAGAATCTCTGGAGTATTTAACATAAGAATTAAGTAACTTTTATTTGATGTTTCACATAAACTGTTTCCTCTTCAAATGGAGAAACACATACTTAAACTGTAAGATATATTCCATTATCCATACCAGAGATACTGTTACAAATTACCTATGACATTGGCAAGTACAACTGCAAAGCCTGCAACAGGAAAATCTTTCAATGCAAGGACACAAAGTCAAACCAGTCACCCTTCGTAGGGGGAAGAGAACAAAATCGTATTTTACCATACTGTTTTCCCTGAAGACTTCCTCTTTTTGTGATAAAATCCAGACTCCAGAGACCCAAGATTTCCACTGAAAAACTAAGAGAATGGGGGGTGGAATGGAGGGAAATTTTCTAGACAGCTTCTCAAAATACATCTTCAGTAGTCAATGTGTCATAAAAACCCCCAACTCTTCTATTGGTAAAAACAGCTTAAAGGAAGAAAAGTTTTAGAGAGTACCTCATTCTCCAGCATCTTCCTAGCACTGAACTAGCAATTCAACTGCTGCTCTAGGCTTTAAACAGATATGAGACCAGAATCAGGCACTTGTGTTTATTTAACACATAAATAAACATTTGCCTTTAGAGTAACTGAGAAGCCAATGCTGTTGCCTACAGGTAAGATGAAAAAGCATGGAGAAATTAAGATCAAAGAACAAGGGGAAATGCCTTCTGCCCCACAGAAGCTGTCTGATATAACAATTTTAAAAGGGGATGTTTTAAAGTGTAAATGATGAGAAAGCTTTTAGAGAATAAAGCAAGCTTTGTATTACTCTGACCTAATAACGCATTTTCTCAGCCACCGACTGACAGTCCTGGACGCCACACACATGCTGTGCATGCAGGTTTCTGCAGGCACTGCTGTAACAACAATTTTTAGACAACTCCAGTGTCACTGCAGGGTCCTACCCAAGAAGGCAGTAGCCCTAATTCAGTTATTTCACATAGGGAATGACTATAGACTCAAAGTACTACGGACTTAGGCTATTGATTTAAAGCACTGTAGAGTACAGAGGTAAAGACTACAGACTTAGAGCACTTTGAAATGAGTCATAAACTCCCAAAATGCTGTGAGCTGACCTACACCCATCTTCAGAGGACCTACAAATCAAATTTCACCTGTAAACAATACATTAACAAAGTTAACAAGTTAAATAAACCTCCTCTTTCCACTGAGTTACACAAGCTACACGTTTACGTTCAAGAACTCACATGTAAATCCAATGCATGTTTGATAAACACATTTTGCACCTCCTGCGAGCCCAGAATTCACACTGTGTGTCTGTGTATTTCCTTTGATAACAAATACTACATTTAACCAGCACTTTCAAA